AATTGCCCCCCTTCTTTAGCTCTATTTTTTTCCTTCTTTTTTTTTGAATATGGTAAGTGTATGTCGGTGCTTTATGCGTGGGAAATTAAAAATAAAAAATCAATCTTGTGTGTTGGTGTGATTCTTGTAGGTAATAATTACTCGTCATTGTTCTCCAATTGCCCTTCTTTAGCTCTATTTTTTTCCTTTTTTTTTAATATGGTAAGTTTATGTAGGTGAATGGGGCTTGCCCAACCTATGCGGATGAAATTTTTAACCTGCATGTAAAGTGTTTATGCGCTTTTGTTCACCTATTGGTAGGCTACTCAGTTATACATGCATATGCGAGTAAGAAAGAAACGTGTAATGCGTGGACTAGCAGCTCAAGATGTCTGTTTCCGAGAGCTAATATTCGGTGAAAAGCTGAACAATTCATATCTGCCTCTTCATTCCCTTGCATGTTATGAATATCTTTGAGCTCTATTTCGTCATTTGCCAGTGGTCTTTTAGTTGGATATATTACTTGTCAAATTGAGACTTGCTATTTTTTCACTGGTATGCCTTTTTGATTCAAATTCTTCACATATTTAGGAACATTGTGTCAACTGTCAACCTGGACTGCAAATTGGATCTCAAAGCAATTGCTCTGCAGGCTCGAAATGCAGAGTACAACCCAAAGGTAGGTAATAATCTGTGCTGTCTTTCTACTTTGCGGGTTGAGATTTGCAGCAGTATGCTTTATGGGTTGGGATGTTTGTTCATGTAAGATGAGTGAAACAAATGTTATGCATCCCCTGTTGAAATCTTTTGTTACATGTGACAAATTTAGGTTCAGGAAATTTTAATTTATTTGCCTTTTTCTGCCAACAAAATCCTTATGTTATTGCCTTTTTGTAATTTTAAAAGGCTGTGTCTCCCTGGAAAATATCTTTAGATCTCCAATTCAATCTTCTGTGCCAGCGACAGGCTTTATCTTTTCTTCCTTTTTTTTCCGACTTCATGAGAGCCATATTTATTTGGTTTGTTTTGCTGTATCTCCTTTCTGCCAACCAAATCTAGACTTTGTTGCATGTTAACCAATTCAAAATGTGCGGTCTCTCCAACATTTTTTTTTCTGTACCTGTAGGTTCACAGTTCTAACTTGCTTGGAAGCTGATTCTTAGCATTTCATTGAAGAATAAATCATTATACTACCTGTTTCGAGTTTCAACTTTTTAAAAAGTTGGCAAATGAGGAACTTCTACAAATGTCTCAATGTTGAGTATTTAATTTGGTATGTTTGATCACTGTTATTTTATACGGTTAAGTATTTTGAGTAGTAGGAGTTTCTTATAGGATATTACTGTTTTTTTCAATCTGTCAAAGTAAAGGTGTCTTTTTCAAGTTAAAGGAAAATGCTTATACCGCAAGGTAGCATTTCTTGAATAATCCTCCATACTAATTTCTGCAAAGATATTCGATTGTAACATATTTATCTTACTATGCAATGAAGCAATCGACAATGTTTCTATATACTGATATTTTACTATTTAACATGCTTTCAGCGTTTTGCTGCTGTTATCATGAGGATTAGAGAACCCAAAACGACAGCACTCATTTTTGCTTCTGGAAAGATGGTGAGTACTAAATAGCTGTTGAGGCATGTATGGCATTTTCTGCCTTTTAATTTAAAAACAGCCTATTTAGTGATTTTGGATTACAAGATATGTTCTTTTTTTGTTGTGAAATCTCTTCTTCTCCTCCTTAGGATTCAAGTCAATTTGCTTGCAAACCTTTATTTCACAACACCTGTCTAGTCTCTTCTTGTGTTTTCTGCTTCTTAAGTTCTGCTCGGCACGTCCTTTGGCCATCACTATTAATTTCTTGTCATACTGACTCAGGTCTGTACAGGAGCAAAGAGTGAGCAGCAGTCAAAATTGGCAGCTCGGAAGGTAGATGCAATATCTAATTACATTTGTTTTTTTGGGGGGGGGGTGGGCAATATGATGATTTCCGTGCACTTTGGGATGCATTTGGTACCTTGAGCATTTTGTTACATTCTCGAGCTTTGTTTTCAAACGTTCAGTCTGTGTTTATACTTAAGGATATGTCTTTCTTATTGTTGTTCTTTTCAGTATGCTAGAATTATCCAAAAGCTTGGATTTCCTGCAAAGTTTAAGGTATTGACATTTTCCTCTGCACCCTCTTGCAACCCTGCATCCCCACCACTTGCAACCCACCAAACACAAAAAGAAATAAAGGAAAAGAAAAAAAAAAACCTGAAAGGGTATTCTCTAATTCCTAGACATGGAAAGAGAATATTTTGCACTTTGGGTACATGTTTTCGAGTCCTTTCGCTTTTGAAAGTTCAATGTTTGTACTATTCTACTTTATCTTATTGGAAAGTAGTTGATTTTTAGGATTTCAAGATTCAGAACATAGTTGCCTCATGTGACGTGAAATTTCCTATTAGACTTGAAGGCCTTGCCTATGCCCATGGTGCTTTTTCAAGTGTAAGTTACTAGATTCCTTTGTTTATCTAATGATTTACACATTTTCTTTGTGCTGCTTTAGGGACCTTGTAGAGGATAACTAGTTATACCCCATGTCCAGAAGAAAAAGGAAAAAGGAACAGTAACATGGATCTCATAAGTTCATCTTAATGGATTTTTTTTTGTATGGATTCGTTACTTCTCTTGCTGAATGGTAAGTGAGAATTTAGTGTCAATAATCTTCTTAGTTATCTTTAGCTCTTTGTAACGGGCAATGTGATATGGGATGTTAGTGCTGAGATGTGCTTAAGCATACTTGGTTTAAAGAAACTTTTGGTTATTATGCATGCACCTCTTTACTGGCCTATTCTAGTAGATCCTTCAAATGGTTTATTAGCTTGAGAACATAACAAATGCTAGATTAGATGTTTGTTAATAGTGGCCCTGGATTGTGTTAACCATGCTTTGCCCAGCTGTTCAAGCCACATGATATAAGGGATGGTCTCTATGGTATATGAAGGGTTCAATTGATAACTTTGGCAAGAGTTTGTGCATTTCACTGGATACTGACTTGCTGTGGCCTTTGCAAGGAAACTATGGAACTTTTCAAACTATGTATGACTTCGGGTGGAAAAGTTTGTTTGGAACTTTTCAATCTATATCAGAAACGTTCAAGACATCATCTAATTGACATAATTTGAATGGTATACCTGTGGTGGTAAAAGTATGTAATAGAGATTGTTTTATCATGTCTTTATCATGCATGAGTTAAGATTTTTCCGGGCTCATAGATATTTTACTGATTACTTGAACTTTGACAACCTCATCACTGGCAAATTGTAGCATGTGTCCAGGAAAAAAATATATTGTGGAAAAAATTAATATAATTACAATTTGGTTGCTGAAAAGAAATTAGAATTTAAAGCTTGTCTATCCAATGTCACTGAGAATATCTAGACGTAAAAGGAAGAATCTTGATTATGTACTTGTTGTACTGAGCAGCTCTAGTTTTGATTCTTGCAGTATGAACCCGAACTGTTCCCGGGATTAATCTATCGGATGAAACAACCAAAAATTGTTTTGCTTATCTTTGTTTCTGGAAAGATTGTTCTCACTGGTGCAAAGGTATAGTATTCTCTACTTGAAAATGTTTTTCGTATGGTATCATTCATTTTGGTGTTCTATTCTGGCTGTCCTCTTCTTCTTCTTCTTCTTCTTCTTCCTCTCTCTCTCTCTCTCTCTCTCTTAAATTTGATATCTGCATTTCGTTTTCAGGTTAGGGATGAGACTTACACTGCCTTTGAGAACATATATCCTGTTCTTACTGAGTTCAGAAAGAATCAGCAATGGTATGATCAATGATGTTTGTCGATTGTGCTTTATTAGCTTAAGATTTTAATGCTTTAAATTTGTTTCTGAAGTGCCTTTGCCATGAATTATTGTTGTGGTAAACCCTAGATGGTTGAGATAAGCTTCTTGTGAAATAAAAAGAGATGATAAATATCATTAATCATGGTATTTGATTGGGGATGTCAGTGCTTGAAGTATTCATTGGGTACTCATAAAGTTTCTGTGTGGTTGGTTGACAAATTAGTAACTTCACTCAGACATTTTAATTAATGCGAGTTTGGGCTGAAATGGCTGTGGTTAGTTTTGCATGCCATAGAAGATGATGTAGACATGTTGATTATGGTTGGACAAGGAAAATTTGAAACAGGTGACAAGTTGAAATCCAAGATAGCCCGTCGACAGAGGGGTTTTTCTTTTCTTTTCTTTTTTTTTTTCTCTGTTGGAACAGTAGAGAAATTAATTCTGCAGTAACCTAAAAGAAAAATTTTTCAGTAGAAGTCAAGCACAACTTTTTTTCCTTTTTGCATATGTTAAGTTAGCTAGCGTGAAACCAAACCCATTTCGCTCCTGATTCTTTAATTTCCTTTGAGAAGCATTTACAAAAAAAAGGGGGAAATTAAAAAAAAAAAGAAAAGAAAAAAGGAACTGGGGTGTCTTGGGATTGAACCATTCTAAGCTTGGAAAGGATTATGTTAGATCAAGGATGCTTTTGTAGTTTATCAGATGGTCAATGTATACTTTGATCCATATTTGTCATGCAGCTCCCCTACCATAACTCTGCTTCTTGCGTCAATTCTTAGTGAATTGGTTAATTCATTTTTGTCAATTTTCTATGCTTTCTCACAGATTCAGTTGGGAGATTGGTGCTCTTGATCAAGTTGACAACGGACTTACTTCCAATGTGCTGTGTAACTGTAAATATTTGAGAGATCCTTCAAGTACGTTATGTCACATATGGATAAAATTGTGATAAGAAGACCGTTCCAGGACTAGAAAATAATAGACTGCTTAGAAAATGATAGCCTTTGAATTACTCACTGGAAATGGACTCCGGACTAGGGGAAGTTACCAACTGGTGAATCCGGATGTTTTATTTTGAGCCTAGACTCAAAACTACTTCACTGTGCGAAATTAGCTTCAATATCCCCTGTTCACAGTTCAAAGTATTGGGGTGGGGTGGGGTGGGGTAGGAGTGCAGAGTTAGGGATGATGAATGGAAGGAATTGGTTGCTATGTTCTATAAATTTTCAATGCATATTTTCCTCTTTCAACAAATGGATACAAACAGCAGGCATGTTCATGTAGACTTGTGATTCTGCGTCTTATCTTGCACCCTCTGAATTGGAGGCGAGCAACAGAAACCATTCTTGGGTGAGCCATAATAGACTGCAATGCACAACTACATTGAAAGGGGTAGACGTGCTCTTCCCATCTCAGCAGGTGAGGTGCCGATTGTATTTAAATCAAGCAGTTCACTGCTCTGACTTGACAGCTCTTCTAAATAAAGCAGAGCTGCATATTCTCTAATAGTTTACAGTGGATTTGATTGCATCCAATATCTGCAATTCAAAGGAAAAAAAGGAGCTCATTAGACAAGGCCTAAAATGCCATTTCAAACTGATGGAAGATCTGAAGTACCAAACCTTATTCTTTGTAGGCAGGTAGAAGGGTTCGAAAACAAGAGGAAAAGGGGTGTCCAGGCCACATACTCGTGTAACAGGTGCTTCCAACTGCAAAACCCATCTAGTCAATCAAATACTTGGTCACATATTATGATCTGGTAAAATTCTTTAGTGCCCCCTGTAGCATGATCAATGCACATCCGCCCATTCGTGCAGTTCAACCAGTGCAAAATAGTTAAGTTACAACATGCAACATCCGTGCAGCTAAACTTTACCCTTACTCTATGAAAGAGGTCCAGAAAAGCTTATAGAGAATATGCCTAATACACTAAGGATAATAGTTTTGTGTCACTAGGACTGCTTGCTGCTCAAGTGCAGGAATTTACAACAAAAGGGGATGAAATATCACCATATCAAAAACATCAAAAACCATAGTCATGTTTGAGTTCTTTACCTGTAGACTTCAACTTTCTCAAAGCTGTTAATTACTGAAAAAGCTATTTAAGAAACTGAAAGCTTGTTTATTTTCAAAAGGACATCAAGCACTACTACTCAAAATCACTTTTTGAAGCTTAGAAAACAGTAAAAACTTGGACCAAAAGAAAACAAGAACACCTGAAAACAGCTTTTGGGGTTAAAAATGCCAGAATCAGCACTGAAGGACACACCCAGATATACAAGTTACTTCCCCATTCCTAGGTCTTGCCTACCACGATGCCACTCATAGTATCTCCTTGGTTATCCTTTCTCATTTGTCCATTTAAACAAAATTCCTAAAACTGTCTTCTAAGTCATAGAATTCTCATCAAAGCGTGGAGACAAACACAAACATTTTCTTTAGGCAAGCATGAAGTTCCTTACATATGTTAAAAATATCAGTAGCAGTTTTGACATGTCAAAAAACCTTGACTGGCAAAGCAACAAATCCTGGAGAAGTAAAAACGAACCTGTAACGCTACAAATGCACTCCAGATGTGAACAGATCTTAGTTGATATTCCTAATTTAGTGTACTTTAGTCACTTAAATTAACACAAAATACCTTCCCCAGGAAATTATCAACACAAATTCTCATGATCTAGAGTTATTTGCAATCTGCTCCCCAAAGATGTTCCTGTCACTGGTTCTCGTAAACTTCTATCTTCAAGCACATCTAGAAGTATATATGTAACAAACTTTCCATTCCATTTCCTTCATGAGTAAACTAAAATCTTAAGAACCTGAAGTGTGGTTCAGAGTCCAATCTCACTTCATAAAGAAGCTTAGAGTGAAAAGGAAAACCAACACTTTTCTTGAAAATAAAAGAAATAGGTGTGAAGAAAGAGTTATAAAAATTAACAGCCTACCCTCAAGAAGCAGCGTTCAACAATAGAGGCAGAAATTTCAGCACCAAATCCACCTGTAATTGGAGCTTCATGGCTTATCTAGATATAAGAAAAGCACGCATAGTTTGTCAAGGATACCATAACCAGTATTGGAGAGTGCATGTTGAAGGTAATGATTATACTTACCAGAAGCCTCCCAGTCTTCCTAACAGAGGCTACTACAGTGTCCTTATCCCATGGTATCAGCGTCTTTAAGTCTATTAGTTCACAAGAAATGCCATCCTAAAACACCAGATGGCATACAGATTAGGTCAATAAAAAGTGAATCTAGGGGAGAACGTTAGTGCTAAAAAATGACTCAAAACAAGAGAGAACTGCACATGTTGACCAATGAACTAAGAGGGCCATGGAAGGGGCAACAGAGATACGATAGACAGTACGTCGCCACCCTACCAACTTGAAAGCTGAAAAGTTGTCAATAATAAGTGCTTAGTACACCTTGTCACGATTTCTTGAAGCCAAATAGAAACTATTAGAAGAATTAACCTTTTCAGCATCAACGCAGGCCTGTTCCATAATTGCTAGCTGTGCTCCCCAACCAACAAGTGTTATATCAGCACCTTCTCGAATCACCTGAATTTTAAGCATGTGATTCTTTGGATTAAGTTCTGAGATAAAAAAAAAAAAACTGTACATAAATGGCATTAACATACCTCAGCTTGTGACAGAGGCAACATGTAATCATTTTCTGGAACCTCTTCCACAGCTAAACGGTAAAGCCACTAAAATATGATAAGAGAAACAGTAAGTACTGAAACCCATATTGATTTTTTATGCTAATGACTGTAAAGGAAATCAAATACGGGCATATACCACATACCTTTGGTTCGAAAAAAACAACTGGATTTGGGTCTCGTATGCAGGATAACAACAACCCTTTTGCTTGCTGTGGACTCCGTGGAACTACCACCTAGAGCAGTGTGTACATAGAAATTGATAAGTATGGTACAATCAGTTAGGGGGAAAAAAAAAAACTCATCCAGTTTAGTGGACAAAAATTTTCGAAACAAAGAGGAACCATAAAGTATACACCTCCCCTCCATTATTTCCCCTTCAAGACCAAACATAAATCACATGCTTGAAACTTTTCATGAAATGAAGCACTAGACCTGTGTAATATGTTGTATATGGAAGTTAATATGATTGCTCATTGATGCAAAGAACTGTACTAATGAAATGTTCCCAGTGAAATATATCTACATCGCATGAAATTTACTCACTTCAGATTGTAAATGATACATTTACTCATTGCAATCAATTAACGAATTCTCATGCAAGTTGACCTTTCACGAAGTGAACATATATATAATGAGTTATATGTTCATTATGTCTATGAAGTTACAAAATTTAACAAAACCAACATGTATTCTATTCATTATACTTCTTAAAAGAATATCAATATCATTGTTTCCAGTGAACCACCATTTCTTCACATCTTATTTATTTAAAGTTTGTTAAAATGATGAACAAAATGGTAACATAAAAAACCTCACTGCAACCTGTGATGATTTCCCTATACTACCTTTATTGACCTATAAGTTTACATTATCAAATGTTGCCGATAAGTTTAAGCTGGGAGGCACAAGAAACGATATAAATTGTGTCTCCCAACTCAAACAAAATTATGTATGGATTAAGGATAAAGCTGAGACAACTTAAGAACTAGAGAGCAAAGAATCAGTCAAAATAATTCTTCTTTTCAGGTTTTGAAGTACATAAAGTTGTTATTATATTGTCTCAGGAAAGATGTACATGTCAACAAATCTGACAATTCTGAAAACATTGTCATCACAGATGTCACCAATAGTGATGATACATCACAAGTATTTCTCCCTCCAATTAACTTTTTCTTTCTCGCTTCAGTTGTGTCTTAGTTATTTATTTATTGATCTTCAGAATAATCATTTGAAACCAATAATATTTTAGTCCCACGTACTGAACAAGATATTAGGAATCCAAACTGATTAGAAGAAAAAGCAGCAAATGTATACAGTCTTGCATTTATTCTGATGCTGTTTACATCAACCAAGGATGCATGAAAAGAGGCTGAAAACACCAATGCAATGCCAACCAAAGGTTTACCTTTATACCAGGGACGTGACAGAAAAAAGCTTCAGGAGATTGTGAGTGGTAATGCCCACCATGACCTACAGCTCCATAAGGTGCTCTTATAGTCAAGCCTGGAAAGGAAAAGAAAAATGTGATGAACCTTGTACACCTTGAATAACTAGGAAGAGAAATTGTAAATTACCTCCACAGTTGAACTGGTTACCACTTCGATATCTGAACTTAGCAGCCTCATTGACAATCTGCGAAGCAAAATACCAATTCCCAGTTACTTATTTGTAAGGATATGCTAGTGTTGACCCTAGGGAGGATGCAGACCTGATCAAAAGCAGGGAAAATATAATCTGCAAATTGAATTTCTGCAATGGCCCGATTTCCCTGGAATTCAAAATGGCAATGCAAGGCAAAGAGAAGAAGCCAAAAAAAAAAGAAGAGAGGATGTAAATGCTCAATAGAATTCGTGTTCAATATTACATCCAAAAAGCTTGAAACTTTGAACTTACCATTGCTGCTAGACCGATACCAAATCCAACAATTCCCTGTTAGTAAAATTTGTGTATAACCAAAGTCAGCCAGCCAACAAAAACAAGAGAACGTGTATTTGAAAATATAATAGTTATCTGAAATCCTAGTGCTACAACCATTTTTCCTTTGCTTTTCTTCTGTTCTCCAGTGGCAGATCCCAAAAAAGGGACATTGACAGAAGTGTAGGTGGTGCTGGGTTACCTGTTCACAGAGAGGGGTGTTGAAAACCCTGTTTTTGCCAAATTGATCAGCTAAACCGGTGGTGCAACGAAAGACACCACCAAAGCTGACATCTTCCCCAAATACATAAGCACTGAAACAGATCGTAAGAGTTTTAATGACTGCACCTCATCCAAGTACAATATAGATAGACAGGCCGACAGGGAAAGAATAAAAGAATCACATCAAGCATCAATCTCAATCTCATACATCCAGTGCTGCCACACAAGTCGAAATGCATGTTATATATCAAATGCTAGTATCAAGATAGCCACCCGTTAGTAGTATATGAATCAACAAAAGACCGCTTCATCGTTCTACAACTTTTCCGCTTACATCCTAGTGGTACTTCATATTATCTTTCTTTTAAAAAAAAAATTGTAAATTTTATCCCACCAGTCTAAAAATGCTAGTAAGCTGAGCTGAAAATGGGTCAAACCAACCCTTTTTGATCTTTTTTTTCCCACCCACAAAAAAAGAAGTTAAGTATGCAAAATTTGAGAGAAGAGGGAGTCCCCCAATGAATGAACGAATTGTTGTGGGTCTTACCGAGGATCTGTATCTAAGGCAATCTGGAGGGCTTGATTGATTGCAGTGAAGAGGTTGATATTAGACGACTTCTTGTTGTCGTTCCCTTGGCTGTGCTGCTGCTGCGGGCTCCTCTTTTCCTCAGTGGTGGCTGTGGTGGTTGAGAATCCCCTTTCCCTTCCCCCGCCACTGCCCCTTCTCCCTATTTTAGTGGCAGTGCAAACACAGCCGCCTTCAGTACGGTTCTTCTTCTGCTTGCAAAAAATCAAACAAAACCTTCCAATTTTCCTCAGGGAACCATCTGCCATTCCTTCTATTACGGGAGCTTGTAATTAAAAGTAAAGGGTCTCCCTTTTTTGTTACTCCTAGCTCAACTGTGAATGAAGCTGGGGAATTGGGATCATTCATGCACGGATTTTTGGATTGTAGGTTGGGTTTGGGTGATTCATTCAACGGGATCGGATTAGCAGACGTGGATTGCTTTGCTGCTCACTTTCGTCTCCAATCACTTTCCAGACTGACCGCAGCAATTTCCTAGTACTAAGTAATTTGCTTTGGATAAGAGGATCGGTGCTGTGGTGGGGACACCTGGGGGAGGCAGATAAGGAAGAGTTGCCCGCTGAAATGAAAACTGTATCAGTTCTTGTCACCCCAAAAAATAAAAAGAGAATGTTGAACCTTAAAGGCAAATTGCAGATCAAGACCCACCCAATTATCTTTGGACGTAAAAATGCATACATTTCATAAAAAAGTTGTCATGGAATTAGTGAATATTACTACCGGAATAGGGTTGGATATGATTCTTCAAGAAATTTTAATACTGTCATTTTTAATAGGGTTGGATATGATTCTTCAAGAAATTTTAATACTGGATTGCATTTTTCGTCAATTTTCATGGAAAAATTACTGTAGTGATTTGATATATGTGAGGGAAAAAGGTAATAGGAAATGTGATCACAGAAAACGACAATATTTTCCGACAGAAACAAGCAATCCAAACAAGGTAAGTTTCAGGCTATGAAACCATCATTTGCATGTCAAGTTGATTGGCAAGTTTTACCATGATTTGCACATCAAGTTCTTTGATCACTTTGTCCATTTTATAACCCCTCTCTAAACAAATAAGAGTGGTTAGGTTGGTAACATGGTTCAAAGTCTCGGTCGAGACCGAGATGACTTGGCCAAATCATCGCTAGAATGGACCTCTCTGATACGATATCGAGACAAGATGATTCCGAAATACTTGACTCGCTGAGAACTCGGGCAAGAAGTCTCTGATACGGATAGTCTCGGTCGATTCGACCCAAATTATCCCGAATCAACTTGCAAATTTATATTTTATAGATTTTCTTTTGCTAATTTTTTTATTATTTTTGTTAAGCATATTTTTGAATATTATTCACAATTTTAGAATATTAAATGTTTCAAAATTTACGTTTTGTCGAAATCGTGATTAATATGCTGAGACTGATGTAGATCGGTCCGGGCCAGACCACAACTTTGAACCATGGTTGTAATCTGGGTTAATTTCACTTTGTCCCCCCAAACTTTGGACGATTACCCACTTAAGTCCCTAAACTTAAAAATGGGACACTTAAGTCCCTAAATTTATAAATACCTCCCACTTAAGGAAAATTATTAACAAATCATGAATGCCGTTGGTGGTCGAAGTGTCCCATTTTATAAGGGTTTAGGGATTTAAGTGTCCCATTTTATAAGTTCAGGGACTTAAGTGGGAGGTATTTATAAGTTTAGGGACTTAAGTGTCCCATTTTGAAGTTTAGGGACTTAAGTGGATAATCGTCCAAAATTTGGGGGGACAAAGTGGAATTAACCCGTTGTAATCTACTGCTGGAGTACTTCTTTCATTCATTAAGCAGCACGTCATTATGTTCTTTTATCCCAACAAGGAACATGATATCGGAAATCCAGAGAATGTCTTTATGGAATTATTCAACAACAACAACAACATTAATGTGGTTGGATATACAACATCAACAGCAACAACAAATAATGAATGTGAAAGGAGTCTAAATGTTGGCAATAGCTTGAAATCCATGGCCTCCAACAGCAGTATCCATCGTAGCAGTTGCTGCGGTGGTAGCAGTGTTAACAAGGACAACCAGCGGGCTCCTAACATGATGAAATCCGTCGGACCAAACAATCTCCCCGAAATCATATCTGCCTTGGGATATCTTGTTGGGTATGAGGGTGACATAAAATGTACGTTCTTGCTTAAAAGGTGAGAAAATCAAGAGCTTAGGCCACACCACCACATCCACCCCCTGAGGATTCACCACCCTCACAAAGTACACTGCTATCTTCCCCCAACCACCCACGTTACGGACTTTCCTTGTAATCGTGGTGGTCCTCTGTAGATTCAGAACTGTGATGGATGGGTAGTTTAGGTTGGCATTGCTTGTTCTACCTCTACCTCTGCCTCCTCCTGTTGTTGAACTGGAACTGGGGAAGCAGAATGTCTTTGTACGATTCATGTCATGAAGAACCAAGCTCCTGATCTGATCCTCGGTGTAGCCAATGTGACAAAGAAAGACGAGGTAGTCTTCTGGCTTCATTTCGTAAACCAGCCCCGGGTCCATTGCTCTGAGTGGATTTATGTGGCCAGCACCAATGTCGAAAGGATCAGATGCTTTGATTGATCCAACGGCAAGAATTTGATCATTTGATGTGTCAGTGGTGTATGCTACGAGTGCAATGCATTATCAAGAGTTACTGATCCATATAAACAAGAAAAATAACACCACAAAATATGATTCAACTGAATAAGCAAAAATTTAGTTAGTTATCCTGTAGCATCATAGCATGTTATTAAGTGATAAGTGTAAATACCAGTAGTCATGAGAGCAGATCGAATTGCAGCAGGAGACCAGTCAGGATGAGCAGATTTAAGAAGAGCAACAACACCTGACACGTGAGGACATGACATAGAAGTCCCGGATTGGAAATTCCAATCAACGGAACGCCGGTCATCTAGAGTCGGAGTTGGAGGAGACATTGGAGGCCATGCTGCCAATATGTTGATTCCTGGAGCGCTTATGTCTGGCTGTTTTATTGGCCAATACATTAATTGTAACAATTACACGCTCATGATCAGAGTAGTACGTATATTATATACAGTTGGATGGATTGGGAGGTTGCTAGTACCTTAAGAAAATCAGGGGAGATAGAACTTGGCCCTCTAGAAGAGAAGTCCGCGACTATGGGTGCTGGAGCCCTTTTCAGAACCGTTTTACTGGGAAATATCTGTATTGTGGGAGGACGACTACTTCGCATGCATGTCGATGGAAAACACCATACGCAGTCAGGTCCAGAAATTAATCTTAATACCATGGTATGTATAGATGCTTCATAATTACCAAATATTAGTGCTCAAGAAAGATATACTAGATAATGTACTAGTAGTAGTAGTAAATCATTAGTATAAGATGGAGAAAATTAACAGGAGCTCACTCTATCGACCGAGACAGATATTGAGCCATTTTGGTGCCTTGAATGATGTCAAGGAGCAGCAGAGGGAGAATGGTAATATCAGGGAACGGCCTACTCAAAGGCTCCACAAAGATGAGCCCTGCTGCACTTCTATTTCTTGCTGCTGCCTCCGCCTCTTCCCTCCTTACTGATCCCACGCTCGAGAAGCATAAGATTATCTTTCCATCTGCTTTTGCTGTTACATTTTTAACGCTCTCTGTTCTGCAAACCCTGTCATTGAAATCAACCATAATAATAATGCCAATAAATTCACCATGCTGGAAGAATACAATTAGACAATGAGGGCAAAGTGAGAAAATTGTGTTTGAGGTTCCTGCAGAAAGCAAAAAAAAAATTACTAGCAAGCTGGCAAGCTCCAAGTTTTAGGCTTTTGCAGGAGGGAGGGATGGATATATCGTATATGTTACCCTACCCACTGGAAAAATAATTGCTGGCGTTGGACAATATTGCTGTTATTGGATGGGCCACGAAGCCTTCACCCTGCACATACATACATATATTAATAAAAATTAGGCTCATAAATTAAATGATGATGGAATAAATAGGCAACCTCCTCCTCCTCAACACGGATATGGCATACAGGTCTCTGTCTTTCCAATGTAGAATTCTGTTATTTTTACAAGATTTTGCATAGTATATTCGTATAATTTGTTAAAAAAAAACAAGGATTACATTAACAAGTCTGAAATAACTCGTTGGGCAGGGGAGTAGGACAATGAGAGCCAACATTAAACACTTGTAACTGGCCAATGCAAGTTGATTCAATTGGTAAGAACGAATCACTTTTTCTTATAAAAGATCGTATGTATTTGAATATCATTGTCTTTTTTTTTTCGACAGTCAGTAATAGTTTACTTTACACCTACACTTATTCCTACTCCTTACTTTAACCTATTCTAAGGGGGCTCAACTGGACCAATAGAAGGGTCGATGGGAATTGAACCATCATCGGATCACATATGTGCATTACACATCCATCTGAATTTTTTAGAGAACCATATAATATGGCAATTGATGAAAAGCAAGATCCGAACCCTTACTTCCCACCCACCAAGTCTTTGGCCACCAGCCTTTGATATCATTGTCAATGTGTGAAAATCGCGATCTATAATGGTGTCGATCTGTAAGAATTTTTGTAATCAATCTATAATCCGTGGTGGTGGTGATAGGAGCCAACTCAACTCGTTCAAACTTTTTCTTACACAAAAAAGAGAAAATTTGTAGTTTCACTGCTACTAAAATTAGTGAAAAAAAAGGAAAGAAAGAAAAGGTCTGTTACACTTGGAGGAGCCCCGAATCTATCCTTTTTATATCACTATCCATCACTACCCTAAGATTCTAGAGTCTAGACAGACATTCATTAAAGTTCCCACTACGGGGTTGTAATAGCAGTATGATAGAATCTTGGTTGTAACTGTTCTTCTGAACAGTGAGACCACTAGATCCTCATCGTCTTGGGCTAGGTACGTTTGTCTACAAAATGGGATTCTTTTTTTTTTTTTTTGTGAAAAGAATATGGAGGAGGAAACTGGAAAGCTCTGAGCAGTAAAGTTAGAAATCGTTTGTCAGGAGAACGAATAAATTACCAGAAAAGAAAGAGCGCAGTCCAAAACAATCCGAGTTGGAAAACTTCGATCAATAGTTGAAGCAGCTACGGAGATGGACCAGGGGAACCCGTTCTCCACCAGAGACGGGTCCGGACCGCTGTTGCCCGCCGAGAACACCACGCTCACTCCCATTTGCATGGCGTGGAAGGATCCGATTGAAGCCGCCGTTGCGAAGAAGGCTCTCAGGGGTGGCCTTAGCCCGAACGATCCCGATATCACGTTCACCCCATCGTGCAATGCCTTGTCGAAGGCCGCCATAATATCCGCTTCTGTGCACCTCCCCTCCAAATTCACGTTCCAGCAGACTTTGTAGACGGCCAGCCGCGCCCTGGGGGCGCCACCCCTGGCCGTTCCCTGTCCAAAACCACCCAAGAAGCTGGCGTTTTTCACCACCGACCCCACTGCGGTGGAAGCTACGTGGGTGCCGTGGCCAACCGCGTCCAGAGGGGATTCGTATTCCAGGTTGCGGGTCTTGTTCAATTTCCCATAACGGCGCTCGAATCCTCCGAGGTAGTAGGTT